TGACCCTCTGACAGTGCAGCATTCCCTCAGTACTGACCCTCTGACAGTGCAGCACTCCCTCAGTACTGACCCTCTGACAGTGCAGCATTCCCTCAGTGCTGACCCTCTGACAGTGAGGCACTCCCTCAGTATGGACCCTCTGACAGTGCGGCATTCCCTCAGTACTGACCCTCTGACGTTGTGGCACTCCCTCAGTACTGACCCTCTGACAGTGAGGCACTCATTCAATATTGAACCTCTGAAAGTGCAGCATTCCCTCAGTACTGGCCCCTGAACTGTGCAGCACTCCCTCAGAACTGATCCTCTGACAATGTGGCACTCCTTCAGTACTGAGCCTTCGACAGTACGATGCTCTCTCAGTACTGACCCTCCAACAGTGCAGCAATGTGTAATTTTTATACTGAAACCGGACAGGGGAATTTGAACATAGAAATTGGGACTGAGATGTGAAAGAGCTCTATCCATTGATCTTCTCTGTGCACTTGAGGTCAAACATCCCATGTCTCTGATGGGGGCTAACTGCAGTGGCTGTACAGATAGCTTCAGTGAGCCTTGCCATCTGATCTTTAAGCAGAGGTCAGCTAGTTCCTGTTTTATGCCACTATCTGGTACTCACTGTTTAACAGTGATCTTAGCTGACACTCACTGTACCTTCACCATAACCTCCGGCAGTATCTTACACTGACACCTCTCAATATGAGGATTCGTCATGAGTGCAGAGCTTCCTGTATTGTGGAGGAACCTGTGGTTCCAGAGCAGATGTTATCCTCCAAAAGATCCAAATTTGAGGGATTTAGCCCGAGGGTTTACTGTCACGCCAATTATGTTACCTAAAGAAATAAATGCTGCCTGTGTGCATGGATATATCAAACAGATTTTCACAATAGATAAACTTGGTATAGTTTTACAGGTGAGACATTACTCAGGATCAGGGGTTAGATTGAACAGTACTCATGGTCAGGGGTCAAAATGGACTCTTCTGATGGCCAATGGTCAGACTGGACAATACTCAGGGTCAGGAGGCAGACCGGACAGTTCTCAGTTGGAAGTCAGACAGGGTACTGTCTGTGGGTACTACACAGGATCGGGGTCAGACTGGACATTTCTCAGGGTCAGGAGTCAAACTGGACTGGTTCAGGGTCGGCGTTAGAGTGAACACTGCTTGGGATTGGGAGCCAAGTGAGAGTATTCATTGTCAGGGGTGACACTGTATGGGTGCTCATTTTCTTGGGTCAGGTGGGACAGTGCTCAGAGTTAGAGGTTAGACCAGACAGCGCAGGTCAAGCTAGAAATTGTTCAAAGTCAGAAGTCAGATGGAATGGTGCTCAGGGTCAGAGTTCAGATTGATTGTGGTCAGGATCAGGTTTAGACTCCAACGGATTGAGAGGGTGAGCGGGTGGATTGGGGTAGGAGACCGGATCACTTCGAGTTGAGCAGATTCAAAATGAGGGCTGGGTTCACTCAGAATCTGCATGTATTTTCTGCTTATATCGAACAGATGCTTTTTGTTTCTCTCTCTCTCTTACTCCTACACACACACACACACACACACACACACACACACACACACACACACACACACACACAGGAACAGAAATCCTTCAGTAGAATCATTCACAACATCATTTCCATCTCCACTTCCGGAGTAATTTAGTTAAGATATCTCTTTGTTCGCATTCACAATTGAATTCAGTTAAAGCTGAGACAAAATAAGTGGGGATTTGATAATTTCTACAGAAAGATCATTCTGTGAATAGGTTCTTATTTCACTGTTTTGTATTAACTGATTTTGCTTTGTTATTGATCGATATTGGCCAAAAAAATACTGTTTGGTGATTGGTCCCAATTAGAACATAGAACATAGAACAGTACAGCACAGTAAAGGCCCTTCGGCCCATGATGTTGTGCTGAACTTTACCCTAATCCTAAGGTCTATCTAACCTCCACCCCTACTTTATACTATCAAATTATTGGCTGCAATTACTACAATTATTGGCTGCTCCCTTGGTGAGGGGAGATTGTGCTTGGCTAAATGCCATTACAGCTGACTATGGATCCACAGTTTCGCACCAGCCATGGTTAGTGCCCATAGAACCATAACCAGAGAGGGTCAGTCAGTGTGTGGAACATGTACCCCGGAGATGGTCAGCCAGTGTGTGGGATTTACTCCACAGAGGGTGGTCAGTGTGTGTGTGGGATGGGTACCACAGTGAGAGTCGGTTTGTGTGAGTTCTATAGCCCAGTGAGAGTCAGAGTGTGTGAGACCCATACCCTAGTGAGAGTCAGTGTTTGCAAGACCGTACCCCAGTGAGAGTCAGTATGTCTGGGACTCTGTACCCTGGTGATAGTCATTGTGTGTGGGATTGTGCCCCAGTGAGAGTCAGTGTGTGTGCGACTGTATTCCAGTGAGAGCCAGTGTGTGGGACTGTACCCCAGTGGGAGTCAGTGTGTGCGCGACTGTATCTCAGTGGGAGTCAGTGTGTGTGAGACCTGTGCCAAAGTGAGAGTCAGTATGTGTGGGACTGTACCCCAGTGAGAGTCAGTGTGTGTGGGACTGTACCCCATTGAGAGTCAGTGTGTGTGAGTCCTGTGCCAAAGTGAGAGTCAGTGTTTGTGGGACTCAACCCCAGTGAGAGTCAGTGTTTGTGGGACTGAACCCCAGTGAGAGTCAGTGTTTGTGGGACTGAACCCCAGTGAGAGTCAGCGTCTGCGGGGCCTGTACACCGGTAAGAGTATGTATGTAGGACTTGCCTCCTCAGTGAGTGTCACTGTGTGTGGGATGTACTCCAGAGAGGGTCAGCAGATATGGAACTCTACCCCATAATCTAGCCCTTGGTTAGCGTTGGAAGCTGAAGAAGCTGCAATGCCTGAACCTCTCTATAAATAGTAGCGCCTGCTGATTGTTTTGCTGGGTCTGATAATATGCTGTCAGCACAAGATATCTACATTAAATATCACAGCTTTGTCTACTCACAGTGAAAAGGCCAATCCTCATCCTGATGGAGTGGGTGTCTGGTGAACCGTGGAGATGGACAGGGCTATCCCAATGGTTGGATTAATGGTCGAGGGGAGCTGAAGCAATTAGAGTTCTAGCGCTACCCCAAGCTCTGATCGAGGAGAATGAGGACGGCTGTTACTGTCACATTTAGCATTCGGCCCAGAATGAAACCACAGCTTCCCTTCACAACCAGAAATTCAACAATGCAACTAGCGAATTACGTGAATACATTGGGCGGGAGGGGGAGGGGCCTGTTACTCAGGAACTGGCTCCTTCTGTCTTCCATTCCTGAGAATCAGCCTTTGAGACCACTCATGTGGGCCTCAGTCTTTGACTCTTCCAATTCACCTGACATATTTTTAGAAGTTTATCTAATCCTGTGAAAGGTTACTGTCATTCTGGAAATCTGCTTGTTTTAAAGTTTCAAATCCTGACAGTTTGTAGATGCTGAATGAACATAGCCATTGCTGAGGCAGTGGGGAAAACATCACTTCAATTATTGCCAAGTTCCTGCCCATAATGTTGTCACCATGATAATTTTTTATACTGATCATTGGATGTGGGCGTTGCTGACTGGCCCAATATTTACTGCCTGTCCCTAGTTACCCATGGGAAGTTGGTACTGAGCTACCTTCTTGAACTGCTGCAGTCTGTGTGCTGTAGGTAGACCCATAATGCTCTAATGTTGCGAATTTCAGGATATCAACCCAATGACACTGAAGGAATGGAGATCTATTTCCAAGTCAGGATGGTAAATGGCTTCATAGACTCATCATGGAACCATACAGTACAAAAAGAGGCCCTTCAGCCCATCAAATCTGTGTTGTCAAAAATATGCTAATACCAGTTTACCTCACCCACTGTACTACCACTGTCCCACTTTCCAATACTAGGCCCATAGCCTTGAATGTTATGACGCTTCAAGATCTCAGCTAAAGCTTTGAGGGGAACTTGCAGGTGGTGGACTTGCATATATCTGCTGTTCTTGTCCTTCTAGGTGGAACTGCTTGCTGTTATTTTTTTGAACTGTAGATTGAAAAATGGGATAAAGCTACTGCTTTAAACCAAGAAAACTATGGAAGATGTTGTAGTTTTGTAAATGAGTTACTGGAACACATTGAAAGTTGTATTTACAATGTTGCTTTATTTAAGCATTGGAGGAGGACGCTTGTCACCTCAGCTCATGGCTGTGAGTTCAGAGCATGATTGTTCAGAGACAGTCATTTGATTGGGTTTTCAATTGACTAGTCGTTGTGAACTCAGGAGGGCTCAGCATAGTAACAACCATTTCATTTGTTCCTGGCTACATGGCTACAGCGCTGTGTATGAAAGATGAGAAACATTTTGTCTGCAAAGAGAAAGTACTCACTCAAGCTCTCTCTCTCACCTTCATTGGTAGAGAAAAAAATAAGAAATTTCTTAGTAGCTGTTCTCACTCCCCACTTCCCTGTAAACTACTGTCTCTGCACATTCCCTGGTTGAAAGGATAAAACAGAAAATAAAACACCCTCAGATACTGAAAGGGTGAGTCTCCAACCACTGAATGAAAGATTGGGAATTTCTGTATCCGCAATCCCATTCATTAGTAAAGAATCAAAAAATGAAAATATAACTCATTGACACCTGTGATCCAGAACTACACTCATTGATTTTATTACCCTTTCCTCACACATAATATGGTCTTTCCTGTCTCTTTGTGTGTCTGTTTGGATGTGTATGGGAATATTTGGAAAGGGGTAGAGTTTAAATTTTGGAATTGTAAGTTAGCAAATTATGCCTTTCTTGCCATTGATTAAAAACAATACGAATACAATAAATAGTAATTTTCCTGTTAATGAAAAACCTGGCATGCACATTCTTTTAACCTGAATTAAACAATTAGATAAGATTGGGTAATTTAGTGGTTTGTCACATTTTTGTGATGACTGTGGGAGTAGTCTTCATTTTCTGCTCACACATCAGTGAGTCATGACATCACTTGGAGCCTTGTCCAGGTGTTTAGAACAATGACAACATCAGATTAGGTGTGGAGTTAGAGGAAGAGATAGACAATAAATGGATGGACACCAGATTTTGCATTAAGAAAATGGTACTGCCTTCCTGCAGGTGGAGGCCCTGTGCTATTGAACCTAAGAGAGAAGACAAAGGCCAAGTTGATTGAGTTAGCAAATAAGTTAAAGTGGAATTGCATGCCATGGCTCAGAGGCAGAAATAATTTGGGCTATTGGGCTTAAAGCGATGTGCAAGCAACCAGGTACTTCAAGTAGTGAGACATCAGAATCTGTTCATATTGAGTTACTGTTAAAACAGCTTGAAATGAGAAAAAGAACTAGAACTTCAGAAATTATCTTCAGAGAGAACAGAAAGACAAAGAATGAGAGTTGGAGATATTAGAATTAGAATGTCAAAAGAGAATAGAAACAAGATCGAGGAAGAGGGAGAAAGAGCTTATAAAATGATGCTATTCATTAAAGAGACATTAGATGCTGATGCAAGCTCCGATGGGAAAAATCAGTCATAATCCAAAATCCAGTAAGGAAATATTTAAGTTGTAAAAAGCCCTATCAAAATTTGAGGAAACAGATATGGGGCTTTATTTATATCATTTGAGAAAATAAAATAAAGAACCAGGTGAGGTGGACAAACTGGACATTGCTGATGCAGAACAAGTCAATAGGTAGAACAGATGAAGTTTATGCTTCACTGTCAGAGGAGATTTCTATGGATTATTGAACTTAAAAATAGCTATTTTGGGTACATATGAGTTAGTTCCATAAGCAACCTGGATACATTGTTTTAAGGCAAATAAGGGGGAACACGTTGATGTAATACACTTGCATATTTAAGAGATGTTTTGTAATGTGCCATGTTCCAAGTTAATACAGGAGAAAAGGTCTCCGATAGTCACAGGTAGTCAGGGTTTGGAAACTTGGTTCATGGACAGGACAGATTGGCCCACACCAAGGTCGAGGCCAAAAACTATTTCCATCTCTGATTGGATTAAAAATTGCTCACTTATGCTTAATGTCTTTTGTGTTGGAGATTCCTGGGTAGGGCCTCCCTGTCATAATCCTGTACAGAATTCAACAAATTTAACAGCGAAGACTGGGCTCAGTATGAGGAAAGAATGCATTACTTTTTCCAGGCAAATGACATTGAGGGAAACGGAAAGCAATGAGTAATTCTCCTGACAGCTTGTGGACTAACAACTTTTTCGGTTATTAGGAGCCTAACTTTCTCTGAGGCACCAGATACTAAAACCTTTCAAGAGTTGACAGATTTAGCTAAGGAATTTCACAACCCCAAGCCTCCTCTAATTCTGAGACACTATTGGTTTTACTGGGCAGTTCAAGAACCAGGGGAATCTGTGTCGGGATTTTTGAGGTTAAGAAGACTGGCAGAGGCACGTGTTTTAGGTTTAACCTAAAGTGAGATGCTGAGAGACCATTTGGACTGTGGGATTCATGATGTGAGCATGCAAAAGTGTCTACTTGCTAAAGCCCAACTGGACTTCAAACATGCAATACAAGTGGTTTTGTAATTAGAAAATTCTGGAAGTGGAGTTTATGAGTTACAGGGTATCCCGATTGGAATGGACACCCTCTCCTGGCCTACTGAGCTTAGGTAACACCACCTGTGTGAAGGCAATTGCTTAGCCTCACTCAGGACATACGCTGAACAAAAGGCACTTGAGGTCAGCCACAGCAAAATCCCTGAAATATGCTACTGTGTCCTAAATCAACATGTAGCGGGCCCTACTTGGGGGCATTGCAACACTGGATCTCCTCTCAGAAAACGAGGTCGCGCAAGTGACTGAAATGTCAGTTGGAGAGCACATTGGGTCCAGTGGCCATAACTCTCTTAATTTTAACATAGTTACGGAAAAAGATAGGACACATATAGGTTAAGGTGCTGAACTGGAGCAGGGCCAATTTTGGGGCCATTAGGCAGGATGTAGCAGAGATTGACTGGGTGAGTCTGTTTGAGGGAAAATGAATGACTGGCAAATTGGAGGGTTTTAAAAATGTTATAGCAAGAGTCCAGGGATAGTTTGTCTCTGTTAGGCCGAAAGGAAAAGCTGGCAGGTTTAGGGATCCCCTGGCTGACGAAGGATATTGAGGCTCTGGTCAGGAAAAATAAGGTATGTATTGGGTTTAAGCTATCGGACTCAAGTGAATCCCTAGATGACTATAAAAAGTGTAGCAGCATACTTAAGTGGGAAATCAGAAGAGCAAAAACAGGGTATGAGATGGATCTGGCAGATAAGGTTAAAGATAATCCCAAGAGGTTCTACAGCTATATTAACAGTAAGACGGTGGCTAGGAAGAGAATAGGTCCCTTAAAGATTGGCATGGCCATTTATGTGTGGAGCCACAGGAGATTCTTGATGAATATTTCTCCTGCGTGTTTATTGCGGAGAGAATCATGGATGAAAGGAAACAAGGGAAACAAGTGGGGAAGTTTTGTACTGCATACATATTACCAGAGAGAGGTGTTTGCAGCCTTAAAGTGCATTAAAGTGGATAAATCCCCTGGGCCTGATCAAGTCCTCCCTCAGACGTTGTGGGAGACTAGGGAAGAAATTGTAGAGGCCCTTGCAGAGATTTTTCTTTCATCTTTAGCTGCCAGTAAAGCTCCAGAAGACTGGAGGGTGGCTAATGTTGTTCCATTGTTTAAGAAAGATAACAAAGACAAGCCAGGGAACTACAGGCCAGTGAGCCTGACATCAGTGGTAGGCAAGTTATTGGAGAGGATACTGAGGGACAGGATTGACCAACATTTGGATAGTCAGGGTCTGATTAGCGATAGTTAGCATGGATTTGTGCACGGGAAGTCATGTCTGACAAATCTTTTGGAGTTTTTCGAAGAGGTAACCAGGAGGATGGATGAGGGTAGAGCAGTGGATGTTGTCTATATGGACTTTAGTAAGGCCTTTGACAAAGTCCCACATGGCAGGCTGTTCATGAAAGTTAGGTTGCATGGGATCTAGGGAGAGCTAACTAATTGAATTCAAAGCTGGCTTGATGTAGGAAGCAGGGAGTGATGG